CCAGCATGCTCGTTTGCCCCCTGTGTTGTAAAAAAAAATCATGATATAATTAATGGAAGAAAAATTAATTAATATTAATAAGATAAGGCTACTCTGCAAAGTTTTATTAAAAATGAGTTTTATTATTGATATGTGTTCGATAATAACAGAATATTTTTTAGTTTCGTGAAAAAATACAATAAAAATTCATACATTTATCACGACGATTGTATGTGCTCAGTAATTCCACATTGTTATGTATTTTTTATATGAAACTTCACTAATATAACGTTATGACGACATACATTAGTAATAGTGAGTGTTCTGGTCTTGTAGCCTGAATTCATATTACATATTTGCCTACCACAGTTATTGGGTTGAATATCTATTCTGCCTACGTTATAAGAATATTTAACATAATGATGCTATCATTTTGGGAATGACAGTGAAGCTTTATCATTATGAGAACGGTATTAGTTAGGTAATAACAAGACACTGGCAGGCATTGCTCATATTTTATTCTATATTAGTTGGCCACTATTTCGAACGCTTGGTTTTCAGAAATAGGAAAGCCAATGATATACCTACTTATAGACCACTTCTTGATTGTGAATCAAAATAAAACATACACTGAGAAATAATACACAATTCGGTGCAGTAGCTTTGTGTGATGCCGGAACAAATATACAGACAGACCGATATACTTTTTAAAGACTATTATCTTGACTTCCTTTACTTTTATTTTCATATTTTTTTTACATATTTCATATACAAACATCATCCAGTAATTATTAACATCTATTATATTTACTTGTAGTACGGAATTAAGTTATGAAAGCAAATAGTAAATAAATAATAAAGTGTGCTAAAAATAAACGAGAAAAGAAAATAAATAATAACTAGTACTCATTAATTACCCCTAATTATTTTTGATATATAAAAAATATATAATCAGTGTATAAAAATACCTAATTTCTTTTTATCAAAGTATGCATATATCAATCAAAAATTTTTAAAATTATAACCGGGTATATAAAAGTTGACATGTATATGAAAAAAATTAACTTTATGGTAATCTTATGCAAGTAGTCCCTTATGTTTTTATATTGTTTTTTTTTTTTTATTTCATCACACTGATTTCTTCAACATGATAATAGCTATTAGTAAGGTAATTACTAATGACGTAAGCGAAACAGTATGTCACTTATATCATTACTAGTGAAAAAAGAAGCGGCTGATTAGTTTACCTATGTTCTTCTTTATTTTAATCAATTCTTCTTTCAAACCAAAGAAGATATAGTCAGTTCAATGAAACTTGAAACATTACAAAATACAACGATAAATAATGATGTCTTGTACAATTTATATTTTAATTTAAAGCTCAGAATCATGTCCAGAAATAGATTTTACTTCGCAACTAGCAGGATGTGGTAGCTTCAACCGTCAGATAATTAATATAACATTAGCACAGCAATAAAACCCACCAATTTCAAACGGATTGTCAAAAATAAGACTTTGCTACGTAATCGCGTGAGATACTCACAATTTAAATACATAGGAAAAGAGAATTTGTGTCTTTTAAAAGTCGCATGAAACATAAATTTAAGCAATTGCTATTAATATTGTTAATATATACCTACTAAAAATTATTACGTATAATCTTTTTATATTGAACCCTTGGAAAGAAATTGTCTCGCTTGACCCGTTTTATAAGGTAATCACCTCGTTATAACCAACCTCGAATATATGATATACAGAAGAAGAAGAACCTGTATATATAATATACAGATAATAAACAGTAAGTATATATACTCAATAGATACACAGTAGATACCTACGACACAAAAAAAAAAATGTCACAATTTTTTTCTGAATGTTCACGACGCATTGTATTACATTTACATTTACACGTAAGTTGTTTAAATTCATATGATTTAGTAAAACCTCCTGCATTGAAATGAATGTAATGAAATAATTTAAGAATTTATTCTGCTAAATAAAACTAATTTCAATACTAATTTACCAGAGGGAGACTTTGTACAAAAGTCATTTGGTTGGGCTCCTCTGTCCCATTCGTGTTTCAACTGTAAAGCAGCTGTATTTGCATGACTGTGTTTCAGTTTGAAAGGTGGGATATGGTTGTGAATTTACAGGATACAGAGGAATAATACCTGAGTCTTCAGGTGTTATTCCTTAACGCATGCATATTACAGGCTAAAAAGTTATGTTATGTCCATGGTACTGCTCATGTCTATACGCGACGATTACTACTTTCCATCAGGTGGGCCGTCAGCTTGTTTGCCATTCTAAGTTGCATAAAAAATACTAGTAAAATTAGTGCACAATCAACACCGAAATTCAAACTTTGTGATAATAAAAGAATCTTCAAAATATATTCTCAAAATCTTTTATGACCTTTTTTTTTAAACTGTATCTTTTACGTATCAATTGTCGAAGTTAGACACATTGCCTTTTAGAAACTATATAAAACTACTTTTCAGTGCCGATTTTCTGTGGTGATTAATGTTATCAGAGTAGTTTAAAGAACCTGAACCCCGAATTCACATCGCGCGCGTGTAATAAATATAAGAAAAACAAAAAGAAAAGAATATTTTGGCCTTTGTTATATTTAATATATTAACTAGTTCTTACAATAATTTATATTTTTTATATTGTTATAAAGTAACTGGTTTTGTATGTAAAGTGCATGATATAATAAAGAACTTGGAATTCTAAAGATGATGCATGCTAAAGTTCAGCTTAAGTATATAGCAATGCTGGTTGGTATTTTGCCAGATATACTATAGCGCAAACTCAATATTTATATAATTTATACAAGATCCTTAAGTCTATTCAAATTCAATTCTAGAAAATTGTCAAAGCTTAAAAGTTTTTTAAAAATTTTATTTTACAATTATTCAGGTAAATCAATTTTATTATCAAAGTACTCCCCCTGTGACATATATAACGCAATGTGAGAAGTTGAAATCCTCTGTATTTTTTTTTATCTCATTTATGTCCCCCAAATGCCGATACCAATTTGGTTTTTGGGAACAAGAAGAAGTCAAACCAAATCAATATTTATATAATTTATCACGGATTTTCGTCTGAGCACATCGACGTAGAATTAAACTGTCTATTCGAAAAAAACAATCAACATTGTCTTGACATTTGAGCGGGATTTTCTTGATTTTTTTGTTCGTGGTTCCCCGGATGTCTTATCGAATTAGATCCAAAAATTTACGGCCATTTTGCCGAGTTTCGAGAGAAACCGATGCTCTTCAACGGAAGCGGGCTCCATGCCGATTTTCAAGCCAGTTGAAGCATTGTTAGGGACATAAGGAAGGGGTTTACTGGCCTCCCCACTCCTCTTTCTCGCATTCCAGAACACTTTTATACGAACTTTCCGGACAGACCTCGTATTTCCATTCGATTTTCTATTAAATTTACTCGAAAAACTTGTTTTATAAAATTTTTTTTCTTATTGTGGTGAAATACAACTATATTTTAAACAAAAGGACAATCCGACTAAAATTTTAACAAAGAGAACTATGTCACCTCGGACAGGCAAAGCTTCAGTCTTATATATCCCTCTTTCTGTGTTGGGTTTAATTAAATAGGAAAGTAAACATTTACCTACACCCAGACCCTGTGGTTTCAATGGATCTCTTCAGGTTTTGCTCAAACTAACAAGAGTAAATAACCTTACTAATGGTTCTAATTGATGATATAGTATTTTTAAGCGACTTCGAAAAAGGGACGTTCAATTCGTTTGATTTATTTCAATTAAATTATACGATTACGTCGCCATTCCTGAACCTATATGTAACCAATTTCTAAAAATAGGAGGTTCTATGTTTGACTATATATATATTTTTATGTATGTCCATCGATCTATACCTTCTTGTCATATAAAAAAACAGCGCATATATTTTAGAGCAACCTGGCACCAACCACGAGCGAAGCATAAAAGCATCATAATATTTTTATTCTTAATTATAAATTTAAAAATTTGTTTATTTTTGATGAAAATTTGTTCTCTGAGTTACCTAGAATTTCATAAATCTGGTTATATCTGTGTGAACCAGCGGCGTCGTTTATTTTTTATAGCAGACACTATTAGCATATTTATAATTAATAAGTTAACATTGGAGCTGAGATAATTATGTTTGCCTGAGTTTGTTTTTACTTCTTAGCACCTTAAAGGCTTAACTAATTACTGTGAAATTCAGTATATGCATACTATTATGAGTCCATTTTTGCTTACAAATTATTAATACTATTGCTGTATACTTCTTTTACAAGTGCAACAAAGAATATATATATTGAATATCAAGATATAGACTACTGTTGTACCTTGATCAGTCAATATATCCCGGAAACGCAGACATCATCGCGGGTAAAAATTACTAGAAATATATTCGTAAAACTTTGAACGCCTTCGATATTGTTGAGCTACCTCCGTCAGCGACATAATATGATTTGTTTCTTTTCAAAATACACCGTTTCCATGAGTGCACACTCGAGCTTAAAGTCATCAGTCGAAAACGACGCCAAATTCACTCATATCCTTTATTAATATATAATAAGTGTAACTAGCTCTTTTCTGTAGCTTCGCTTATGTGAATGTGTACATTACATTTCCGTGGAAATATATTATCTTAGTGCTCACTTACATTACACGAGGAAGAAGCTCTATGCAAAATTTAGTTTAAATCCTCTCGTAGCTTCGCCAGCGTTATCCTCTATATACCATTCCAGAGGAAATGTCCTTAGTGTTCACTTACATTATATAAAGAAGCTATGTGCTAAACTTCATGTTTTAAATCCGACAGATTTGACTGTGTATCAGTAAATTTTTTCATCACAATTGTTACGCCCTCGATAAAGCAATTGTGGTCGCCATTGAGCGGGTGGTGCCGTTATTCCGTGATTTACAGCCCGTCGCCATTTTTCTCTTACTATTGCCCTTTGGGTACTATACTATATATAACATATAAATAATAATGTATAGAACTCACCTATAATGAGCCGGAGCAGGCTGGCGGCGAGGTGGCCCAAGTCCGCAGAGTTAGCCATGGATCACTCTCGCGAACACATTGTCAACACGACTACTACCACGACTAGCCATCACTGTACACCAACCAACCGCGCCCCGTACATTACACATTCAATATTTAACTGTATATTCATATTTGCAATATTAAAATCCATGCCTGTACCGCACCGCAAAGAATGGCATGATCATAAAAGTTATATAAGCCTAAAGTTTGAACAAAGGGGAGTGAAATTGATTACGTTCGTTATTCGAGTAAATATATAAATCTACATTATTTTTTCCGCTGTATGTCGTACAAAATAGCAAATATATTAAGCGCATGATATGTAAATTATTAAATAATTAATAACTACTACAACGCTATCTGTCCACACAGCAATCAATCGACTCACTATGGTATTAGAGGGACTAACTGCGCATTTAAAGGAATTGTTTTTACTTTACGTACTCCGTCGCTTATTAATTTAGTGACCTTTTTCTCATCCTTAAGTTCACATCTATGTGAAAGCAGATTTTTTCTGTGGAACAAAACATTTATACACGGTCGAATATAATTTAATAATAGAATAGAGTATAATCTATTGTTTTTATGTTGATAAACTTTATTTAGTATATCATTACTAAATATTAAATTGAAACAATTAATTTGCTTCAACAATATGAAATGTATAACTTTTCGTCTACTGAAATCCCATCAACGCAGTATTACTACATAGCAATATTGGCACACATCTAGAAACAGACGGTCATATTGCATAATAACTCATTCAAAATTGGTTGAACTTTTTTAATTTTCTCCGCGGAATAAATGCAGGCTTTCCTGTGATTTATTTGGGCATTGTGGTAGAAAGTACGTGACTGTATCTGCCGACTTGTAATTACATTAGCATTTATACTAATTACTTAAGCACTTTGGAGCACCAATCTGAAACATCTGCAAAGAATAGTAGGAATAAAGTTTTCAAATCCTTTACTTTTCTAATTATCTTCATTTCAAGAAACTGTATAAAACTTGCTTATTTTGAATACTTATGAATTTAATTACTATAAAAAATATGGCAAGCAAATATAATGACTTTGTTATGTTTTATCTGTACAATCATGACACGAAAATATATTTATTACAATAAACTAACTGATTTCAGACCGTTGTTCGAGCTGCGAATTTCTATATATGCTCTTTGTGGAATGAGACATTTTACCAGAGTAATAACTATCATATATAATAAACTATATACTAAGATACTATAATAAATATCATTAAAATCTATTCAGTAGGATTTAGGTTATGTATTCACAGATTTTTATTTATTTTTACTTTTTCATTATACTCGTATTTATAGTTATAAATCGTTTTGTAGTGTGAAAATTAGTGTTAAATAAAAATGAACCACTTAAAATAGAGTCGTAAGTCTTGAAAAGGACAAAGTTTTTATCTCGTTGTCATGGCAAAAGATAATAGTATTTCTTTATCTGCAACCCCGAGCTAAAAAAGAAAATTACGTTGTCTCCAACGGGTCCAAAGGAAATTAGAGGGCGCGACGTCGAGCTTGTTCAGTTATCAGTTAGTTAAAATGCAAATTGTTGTCTTTTGTTTGGGCAAACCGATCGACAGCGGAGGGCACTGCTTGGGTAACATAGGAAAAATGCTAAACACTCATTTATAGTCGACACGACCGGTATAAATCCCTCTCATTGTCAGCAGATTTGCAAGACATCTGCAGTTTACGTTTTAATTTTCATATTTTGAATTATATTATAGCACTATATAGAATAAATTTTCGGAAAATTACAAAAAGTTTTTTTTTTACCTTTTGACCTATCCTCATATACCTTATCACATATGAAACTAAAAATAAACATTTTCAGTACCTACAAGTACATTCACTATTGTTAGTTTCTTCTTTTATGACAGTGGTCATTTAGCTAGTACGAGCAATCTATTTAATTACTAACTTTTTACCCGTTACTTCGTACGATTCATTCGTTCGATTCCTACGATTCGATTTCAGACGTAGAAAAATCAATGAGATAAATTACTTCTAGATGGCGTATCAATATAAAACATACATACAGATTCAGAAACACAACTGGGAAAACTACATTGTTGTTATGGTGTCTGTTATTCTTATTAAGACTCCTAAATATCTTCGTCATATACAGACATCTATTACAATTTTAATATATTAATAAGATATTTTATTGTATACACTTATATTATAAGTACAGATATACAATGGTGGAAAACAAATGTACAAAGGCAAGCTTAACTCTACAAGAAATTCCAGCAAACCCAAAGTGGAAAGAGGCATAAATGTCTACTTTTCAGTTTATTACAGTGTCTGAAATAAAGACACGTTGAATATAATAATTTTATACCCCAGTTAAAGGTACTTTTTATTTTAAAATTTAATTTTAATTAATAATTAAATTAATAATAAAATTAATTTACTATTTTCTTCTCAGAATGAGTACTAAATTCAGGAATGGTATGGTAAGCGAATTGAGAATCTCCTCGAAACCACATAAAACATTACTTATATGTCACAAAATAGACATGTTATTTCAGTTCACCCAGCCATTGCCGCTCCAGATTTTTTTTCCCCGGAACTACTCAGAAACTAAGTCAATATTATTATACATTATAATGTACATACATACTGTACGAGAAAAATAATAACTATGTCTAACAAGCCATCTTCGAATAAAATTTTTGTACGACAATTTTACAATACAATACCATGTCATCTTCTAGATACTTCATACCTATTTATAGTTGTCCGTATTTTAAATATATGCAAAACTATTTCTATTTGTAACATCAATGAGGATAAAGTTAACGCTCGCTACCAATAAATAAAGTCCCTCCGAGTCAAGCTTTAGTGAACCTTAATGTAATCCAACAATAGGCAGTGCTCGTACATCCGTGGAGGGACTACTCGTAGTCGGTAGGGAATTTTATCCTTTTTGAGCCTATTCAATAGTAACTCTTAAATCAGTTTCTTCCACATCTGCAGCCCTGCAAAATAATATATTCTGAAAGTTCGTGTACAAAATACAAATAGGAACGACTCTAGAGTGGCGCTACCATAGCACGAAAGGCGTCCGAACAAAGCGGACGAGATTCAACGTCGCCCTTACATTATGCGAACTTTTCATTTTATTTTAACTAATATATGGATGTAAGTGTACAGTTTTGTGTTGAAATGTCAATGAGGTTACAAAAAATTGTTTTGTAATTACTTTGTTCCAACAAATACTTATTTACAATTTGATTGAAAGTTATAGAAGTAATAATTTATTTGAACAAAGAACTACTAACAGAGCGATAAAGGATTTTACTGTCACATATAATGCGTGCCAAGCCATTTGGACAAGAATGATGTCTACAAATAATAACTAGTATTAGTACTTACATATAAAATGGAATTCAAACTTACAGTGAATGTAAACTCTTTATGTAGATATAAACCTCTAGCTTGTATATAATGCCACAAAATCAAGTACTAAAGCACTCGTATTATTTAAACAAGTTTTCAAAACAGGTGATACTGTAGTTTCATAACAGAATAATATAATTATTACCACAGCTCCGTCTCTCTGGATAGATCATTAGTTCGTGAACTAAAGTGTCGGATTTGAAGGAGGTCAATTCCCATGTTGTATGTATATTTACAATTCTGACAAACTGGGCTTTATGGGCACTTTACTTTGCAATGATAACGGAACTTGTTTTGTAAATAGATTTCAAAACGAGTTTGGAGATAGATTCCAAGTACTGAAATTTGATTTTCAGAAAAAAAATTCTTGAAGATAAAACGATAAATAGGGGAGAAAGATAAGCTTTATTTATACTAAGAACGGATAACGCTATATTTAAAATCCTTTTTATTATTAAAAAGAACGTGTTCACAACATGACAGCCAATATAAAAAAGGACCTTCAGTCTTGGCAGCTATTTAAGAAATGATAGTAGTTATGATGTGTAGTAGTATGATGAACCAACTATAGAATAGCGTCTTATTAGGATTCTTCTTATAAAAAGAAGGATAAGATTAAGGAAGAAGAATCTTCATCAATATAAACCGATTAAGATATTTATTTATTCAATAAACAACGTTACGTTTTATGTTGTTTTTTTATTAATTTTGTCACGATTAAAGTCTATATTTCTCAAAAAAAAAAGTTATTTTTATTACATTATTGGTCATTAATTATTTCAGATTTAATTACAATATTCTATTATAAACATATATGGAATTAAAATAGACTGAGAGACACCGATTACAAATTTTAATCTCCTCACACAGCGGGATGTCTCAAATTGTTGGGATTACTCGTGATGCTACAAAACTTCGAGGATAACTCACAAGAGGATTAGAACTGTGGATAATGTCGTAGCACAATAAATCAGGAATTAAAAAGTGTTTAAAGGGGTGCGCCGTGATTTGTGAGGTGAATGCGAACAGGGATGTTCCTGCACCGGGTGGTGGTAAGAACTGTTACCGCCGCTCAACCACCCTCGAGTCTGTCCCATAAAGATAAAAATACAGTAGATGGTACGCCTACCGTAACGGGAGGCTTATTTATTACTTCACGTCTTTGTGTCAGATTAGTGGCTGGTCTCTCGATCCATTGAACCCGTGCTCTATTTAAGGGAGGACAATCGATATATTTCGTCCATTGTCCGAGTATTTAGGTATTGTCATAATTCCTACTAATATTTATAAATATGAAAATTTGTAAATACGTTTGGGAGTTCTTTTTTATACAACTTAGAATGGCAAACAAGCTGACAGCCCACCTGATGGAAAGTGGTAATCGTCGCCTATAGACATGAGCATAAGTTCGCAACTCATTTATGTTTAATCGGCTGAGTGGATTTGAATGCAATTTATTGGAACTAAAACATACGATATTTTTATTTTTATTCACACGCGCAAAGTTGTGTGATACAGCCAGTATAAATTATTTCAAACTTTAATTTTATTATAGTCAACTAACGATAATAATAATAACGAGACAACGGTCTAGCTCGTTATTTGTGAATATTTTCTTAAATAAATTATCCGTCCTGTCATATTAGGTTTCATTGTTATACCAACATGCCCCGCGGCTCTGGATGAAAATAAATCCCTGAAATTTTAATTAGAGACATAACGTATTTATATGATAAAATTCATTCCAATCCGATTAGCAACAAACATCAAAAAATTATATAAATAGAATTTCTAATAATACCAAAATATTATACGATGAACAAAATCTATTGATTGTTTATCCGTTTCAATAGGCTAAGGGTTTCTTTTTTTCTTTGAATATGACAATCCTTTTATTTTTCTCAACCAACAATGCCCTACATTAAATACCAAATAAAACAATAAAACGCAGATGAAATAATAGAATGGTAATAAGCAAAACACCTTTAGCCTGTCTACAAAGCGATTAGAATAAA